AAGACAATTCGTTGCAGGACAATTCGTCGCACGGACAATTCGTTGCAGGGCAATTCGTCGCAACGATACAATCCAATTATAACTTATCATTATTTTCTCATAAATGAATTGACCTATTAAGATAAGTTAGAAACACATAATTCAATGAATATGACAATTGTAGAGACTATTTGTAATAACAAACTTTGATTTTTGATTCCGAGCAGTACAATAATCGTCTGGTACACATAAAAAGTTAAGTTCTTTGAATTATGTCAGCGGTAAAAGTTTTCTTATAGAAACAGAAGTGGTGTTGCATTTTCTTTCAATTCCTATTGTAGCTCAGGATTTACGACACACGGAACAATAATTTGAGAAAAGAAGTGAAACTTAGTGTTCACTAGCAAAGATTGGCTTTAGCATAACTAAAAAAGCTTTTGATCAAATCTTTTTATTAAATATCCTTATTTAACGTACAAATTGTGTTAGTTTAAAAATTATCAGCTCTTATTTGACATGTTTAAAATTAAACTAGTTTGAATTCATTGATAATTTATACAGTGCTAACACTAGTGTTGATGATTTCTCACGTTTGAGGTTTTTTCATCTCATCAGTATTAGTCGTGATGCATAAAATAGATTCGATTTTTTTTATCAAACCAGAATTTCTTATGACAATACAACCCAAAATAAAAATTCAAAGTTTAGTGATTACAAATAGTCTCTACAATTGTCACACTCATTGAATTATGTGTTTCTAACTTATCTTAATAGGCCAATTCATTTATGAGGAAATAATGGAAAGTTGTAATTGGATAATATCATTACGACGAATTGTCCCGCAACGAATTGTCCGACAACGAATTGTCCGACAACGAATTGTCTTGCGACGAATTGTCCATGCGACGAATTGTCCTGCAACGAATTGTCTTGCAACGAATTGTCCATGCAACGAATTGACCGTGCGACGAATTGTCCTGCAACGAATTGTCTTGCAACGAATTGTCCATGCGACGAATTGTCCGCAACGAATTGTCCGCAACGAATTGTCCTGCAACGAATTGTCCTAGCACCAATACGTATTCGTCGATGAAGTTCCCATTCAGGTATTGAAATATTTAATTTTTCCATTAATTTTCGCATAAGATCATCACACATTGCATGAATATTTAATTTAGCTAATGAAGCTAATGGGGTTGATTGTAAATTACCAATGGCTAATTTTCCACCATGTTGAGCGGCTATCATTGGAATATGCGCTGCTGGTGTTACACGTAATGATGAACCTAAGACAAGACAAACATCAGCTTTTCTTGCATGATCAAAGCTTGTTTCTAATTCATGTTTAGGTAAACTTTCACCGAAATTAATAATTGAATCATAAAGTGTTGAACCACATTGAGTACATTTTCGATTTGTAGCATGATCATGTACTGCAGCAGCAGTACGTGTACGAAAATCACGTAAATATTTTGTATGGCATTTTTGACATGTTTCTAAATTTGAATTTCCATGAAGTTCAGCTAACATAATTGATGGTAAACCAGATCGTAAATGTAAACCATCTGTATTTTGTGAAACAACAAAATGTAAAAGATTTCGACGTGCTAATTCAACAAGAGCCATATGAGTAGCAGATGGAATAGCTTTTGTTGATGTTGTAGTTCGAGTTATTGGTGAACGCTTTGCACCGGGGTGATCTCGAAGTTCCCATACACCAGGACCCGTTGGTAAAATAGTATTCATCCCTGATCGAAAATCAGGGATACTAAATAAAAATAACAATAATCATTTTTACAAAATGAAATTTTTCTGTTATATTGTATTTTTATATGGACTATTGAGTGTATAGATAAGAACAAAAATGTATCGAAAAGAAAAGAACAAAAAGCATTGGATGATGGTATTCAAAAAATCTAATATGTTGAAACTTTTTATGACTCGTTGAAGGTTAAATGCATTATATTTATAAAATTAACTTACCCAGTAGATGTCGACACACCAGCACCTGGATATATACCATATAAATACATTATAATAAGAATTGATAATCTACTAGCCTGTAAATACAATAAAATGTTTGGCATTTCGAATCCAATCAGCTAATTGATCCAATTTTTTATCAAGGACATCTAGCGAATCGACATGTTCTTTTTTTGTTTGGTCTTCATCTGAAATTCCATGTGCCATTTCTTTAATTTTTTCTTTCAAGACAAAAGTAATAAAAATAAAATCTAAAATGAAATCTTTATCTGTAAACAATATTTCCTATTGATAAATTCAGTTCTCGATAACATACTCAAGCTTGATATTGCTTAATCAAAACAAAAGAAAAAAAAAAGTAAAATTTTGTTTATGTTAAAAACAAATGTGAATGAATGTATATTTCAATCTGTTGGCAGCATCTAAACCACATTAGAATGTGTTCTATAGTAAAGATAAAGAAATAATAACAAGAACAATCAGATCGACAACAATATCTACAATGACAAAACAAAAACAATCACAACTGGTTACGCTGTGAGTCACGCATCAAAAAAAAAACGAAAAGCCATTGCCAAAAAAAACTGGCTAAAGAACTCTTTCTATACATATCGTTCATATTTTTTTTGCTTTAAGACACACACACACAAGACAAAAGTAACTCATTAATAGATATGAGAATATATCGGAACGATTACATCTGCGTACAAAGAAAAAAAAACGAGCCTTGCAAAATAAATAAAGCAGAAAAAACACAAAACAAAAGAAATGATTACGATTCTTTTCTAATTAACTATGTTATGACGGACGTATCGACGCAGATTCAATTGATGTTGTTGAATGAGATGAGTTACTGTTGTTACTTGGTATGGACGAATTTGATGATGAGTTTGTCACATTTAATTGATGATTCATTGAATTAAATAAATCATCAAGTAATTGAAGTGCACGATGAATTTGTATTTCAATCCAACATGGAGTTTCTTTTATTGATTGTCTAAAAGTAATACAAACAAAAAAAAGAACAAAGAAAAAAAAAATATAAATATTTTCAATCAATAAAAATTTTACCTTGGATAATCCGGACCCCAACCTTTTACAAAACTGAGTCTTAAAACACATAAACGTCTTAAGTCATCAACACTTAAACTAGCTGATGGTGGCATTGCTTGACCATGAAGTTGTTGTTGCATTCGAGCATGTAATGCCATTTTAACATGTTGATCCATTTGAGAAAAACATTGTGATAAATCAAATACCTAATAAATTGATTTTAGAAAAAAAAAAATAAACTATTCAAAATCAATTATTTTTACACACTTTTATACAAGCTTGTGGATAAATTTTATGAACAGCATCACCTGGTGCTCGACCAGCTTCACGATCAAGATAATAAGATTGAAGAAAAACAGCTTGGTCACTATTACATCGTATCCATACATCAGCTTCATTTCGACATTCAACACGAATGCCTTTACCAATATGTAATCTACAAAAAATAATTTACTTTTCTTCTTTAGTATTGTAATTGAAAAAAAAGAATTATGTTTTTTGATAAATTTATACCGTGCTTTTTCGCTTGCTTCTGTACGATAAACATTACTTAAAGGACCTAAACAAAATCGATCTCCAACTGTAGCCATATCCATCCCACCATCAATAGTCACTTCTTTAAATGTATCTGGAACTTTAAATGTTTCACCAACTTGAATATCACGCTCATAATAAGCGATACTACACCAATATTCACCAAAATTATTAATTAATGTTAATGGTTGAATTGTCGGTGCACTCGTCGGAACAATTGAATGTTGTTGCCCTGAAGAAAAATAATAATAAAAGAAATTAAGATAATATATTTTAAAAGACTTACATAAACTAGTTGTAGCTGGCATTGATTGTGCCCATAAAGGAACATTTCCATCTTCAAAGAAAATATTTTCAATAAAAAATTCAAGAAGATTAGTGACGTAAATACTTCAATATTGTTTATAAAGATTGAGGGAATTTTTCTCTCTATATGTGGTGATAGCAAAAACTAGTGCTCTATATTTTAGTATTCTTCAAATAATATCATAATAATAGAACTTTCATAAGAGCCGTTTTTTTTTTCATATATAATGATAATGTTTAAGATCATTTCAAAGAAAAAAAGCTATTAATAAAATCTCTGCAGAATTAAAATGTGAAACATGGCGTAGCTGCTCTTGTTAATTACAAGAGGATTGTTATTTTTTCGTCTATTTTGCGACATATTTCTTCGCTGTCCTTGTACTGAATTCTCCGCAAATGCAGTAAGGAAAGAGTTTATATATTGTAACGAGACGTTATTGATATACGATCTTTGATTGTATATCAGCAACGTTTTTTATGGTCTGTGATAGTCTCTGACTAGCATCTATCATGGTCTGTAGAAAGAGGAGAGCGATGAGTGCAAATTTCTACTTTATATACTTCAATGCTCTTTATAAATCGTGTTTTATAAAAAGTGGATGGATACTTTTTGAATTACTTTTGATAAAACCAAAATAGAGGTTCACGATTTTGATTATTCCTTAGGTCTGACCAAAAGTTCTGAGAACATTAAATAAAAATATAAAGATGCAGAAATATTTTTAATTTTATTTTATGAAATGTTGAGGATAGTTACCATGATTATTTATATCAAGTTTAATCTTTTCTAACAATTTATTAAAAGTTTTTTTTAATTTGTTTTTCTAAAACAATTTTAGCTATCTTGGATACCACATAAGCTCATCATATTTCATTTATTTAATCAGTTAAACTTCGTTCGATAGAATCACTTAACCAAAGATTACGTAGTATTAGGTCGGGCGAATATGACATTATATTGATGCTTTTTTCTGTCAACTAATTAATAACATTGGATGAGTATGAAATCAACGATGATCGTCAAGCAATTTTGTACATTTTGAACCTGATGGCTATGTTTGTTTCCATATTTCGTTAACAAAAGGGTTCAGATAATTTTTAATATAATACTTATGATCTACAGTCTTGCCTTTATCTACACTCAGGACTATTTGATTTAATGAATATTCTTAACAATGTTTTGCTTCACATCTATCTCCATGAGCAATAATCTTTGACAATTGATCTTCAATAAGCCAGTTAGCATTAGATGACTTATGACTAACCTATCTAAAATAAATCCATAATTCCCATTACTAGTAATGCTAGAATACAATATGACATGATGGAACAAAATTCCACTAAATTTTTAAAACAAATAAGATATGATTAGCTCAAGTTGTATCCAAGGTAGCTAAAATTGTTAGAAAGGATTAAACTTGATATAAATAATCATGGTAACTATCTGTAACATTTGATAAAATAAAATTAAAAATATCTCTGCATCTTTATATTTTTATTTAATGTTCTCAGAACTTTTGGTCAGATCTAATTTGAAGGAGGGCATGATGACACATTATATCGTATCAAGGATATCCTATAACAATCGATGATAAGTTGTTAATGAAATTCTTCATACTTTTTCTTGACATGAAAAGTTAAACTATTTTAACACGTCTGCATAGATGAAAACAAAACTTAACCGCTGTGTCGCAATTGACTAACTTATTAAAATATTACAAAAATTGATGTATTTCAATTGTGCTCATGCACTTTAGTACAGATTTAAGCGACACAGCTGAAATTGTCGAGAATTAAAGAACTTGGTTAGATATGTATGTGATAAGAATTCCGATTTTCTCCATCAAGAAAAGTATGAAAAATGACATTGACAATTTATCATGATTTACTATAGGACATTATTCGTTATAGTATTTTTCAAAGCACTCAATCGACTTCTTTTGAAAAGAAATGTACTGCAGAAGTTTTTACGATGTCTTTTCAATTATCAGATATTCATTCGAATTGTCATTCGAGGATGTACAAAACTCTACAAGGCTTACATGTCAAGATTTCATCATTTAGGAGTTATATAGATATTTTTTTTCTAGTAATTACTCTTTTAAAAAAAATACTTTATTACATTTTTTTCGTCTTGAATAAATACTATTCTTTCGACATTGTTTTAGAAAGTTGATTAAAATAGATTAGACAAGTCAATAATATACAATTCAATAAATCTTTATGTTCTTTTTTTTTCTAATGTTGAAATTCATGTTTCTCTTTCTTGATTGTAATAAACATTATTCAGAATATTTAAAAGTATTTTCGTCACATATCATAAAAAACAGTTCTTATCGAACTTTTATTATTATGATGTTGTTTGAAGAATGCTAAAAAAATAGACTACTATTTTTACTATCAACATATAGAGAAAGAAAATTTCCTCAATTATTCTATATGATATTGAAGTACAATTGCCACTACTTTTGATATTCTTTAAGTATCATTTTTTTTCTTTACCTTGTGAAAGCATAGCTGCTGGAAAACTACCAACAGTAGAAACAGTATTTCCATTGGTACTATATGGATGTGGTGGACTAGGACTAGTTGTATCCGGTGCTGGATGTTGAATAACACCCATTGCTTGTGGTGAATTTTGTTCATCTACATAGTCTAGAAAAAAAGAAAAGAAAAAAAAACACAACTTGATTAAAAATTAATATGAAAAAAATCGTTCTTGTTAACCTTTCATGTAACGATATCCATCCGGTGTTGAATATAGATCACGATCATTTGATGAGGATGGGTCACCATGACCAAGTAATTGAAAACGAGGTACAAGTGGCATTCCTGTTAAGTCTTTTCATATAGAAAAAAATTTGATAATTTATTAGGAAAAGAAAAATTCTTTAAAAAAAAACAAACATTTACCTATTCCAGGTGAAACAACACGTTCATAATGATATGGATTTACTAGAATAATACATATATATATATATATACATGTTATGTAGTGAAAATAATTATTAATTTCGTTTACCACAAACATATTCTTGTTTAAGATCAAACGCTAAATGACAGATTTTTAAATGTTTTAATTCATTTTTATGTAAATCTGGCCAACGCCATATACGAGCATAAATTACATGTGGGAAACCTTTTCTACCAGCAACCTATGTAGAAAAAAGAAAAATTAAAATTAATTAAGAAATTCAATGTCTAAATTAAATACTTGTAGTCTTCCATCGAGTGTTCTTTGTATAGTTACACATTTTGTTGGAATTTGTCCATTTGATGTAACTGATGCAACTAATGCATCGAGTTCGTCTTTTTTGTCTTTTAGTTTTTTAACCAAACTAAAGAAAATCATATTGAATATTTTTCTTTAAAATTACTATTTTTACCTTTCAATAGCTCGTTTCGAAAATGTTTCACTTTCACCATTTGTTCGTTGCCGATGACATAAAAGACTTGCAACAATGCCATTACATGCATCTGATGACGAGCCACCACCGCCGCTATTTGATGTTGATGCACCATTTGATGGTGGACTATGTGAATGAGGTGGCGGAGAAGCAGATAGCATTCGTGACGATGATGATGATGCTGCTGCAGCAGCTAAAGATGGATGAATAAGAAGATCCAGTTTGTTAGTTATTTATTTACAAGAATGAGTTTTATTTATTGAAAAACAAGTATTGTATATATTAGTTTTTTGTTTTTTTGTTTTTGTTATTGACTAGGCTTTTTTTCGTTTCCACATTGATGATCGACCGATAAGATGACGAGATAAACATAATGAACTACCATGTGACGTACCATTGTTCCTTCAAATAAACTTTTTTCATTAATGATTTTAGTGACATCTTTTTATAGTCAACTGAAAGATCTTACTGGATAAAGTTTATTGATTTTATGTTTATGAATGAAACTATGTTTTTCTCTAGATTTCTTCAGAATACATTTGGAAACAAAACAATCTCTAAACAATATACAGTTGTGTCGGCAACTAATCGATAGACTACGTATTTTTGATTTTAGATAATTATTCATTAATTTATAAAATGGCTCAAGGTACATTATCGCTTGGTGGTGAACGTATCACAGGTATGCTTAGAATTGAATAGTTCAAACAAGACTAACTACTTCTTTTTTCTATATATTCTAGGTGATTCAGTTCGTACTCAAAATGGTATGTGAATGTAAAGTAATTTCATGAGTTCTAATTTTGTTTTCAAATATATAGTTTTGGCTGCTATGACAATTGCTAATATTGTTCGAACATCATTAGGTCCTCTTGGTCTTGATAAAATGCTTGTTGATGATATTGGGGTAAATGAAATTTATTTATAATAAAATTGAATTCGAAACAAAAACTATATATAACTTAGGATGTAACTATTACAAATGATGGGGCCACTATTCTTAAACTACTTGAAGTTGAACATCCTGCTGCAAAAGTATTAGTTGAATTAGCTCAATTACAAGATCAAGAAGTTGGTGATGGTACAACTAGTGTTGTATGTTAAAGAATTCTTTTCTCTTTATTGTTGTCGTTTTTATAAATTAATTTTTAAAGGTAATCATTGCTGCTGAATTACTGAAAAATGCTGATCAACTTGTTAAGCAAAAAATTCATCCAACATCAGTTATTAGTGGTTATAAACTTGCTTGCAAGTAAGAAATATAACGTTGTATTTTCATTTACAAATATTGATATCGTTTTTAGACTAGCGGTAAAATATATTCACGATAAAATGGTTATTCCTGTGGATGAATTAGGTGGTGAATGTTTAATAAATGTTGCTAAAACATCTATGGCTAGTAAAGTTATTGGAATGTATGTATTTGATGCTTATAGAAGACATCTCAAAGTTCTATCGGGAAAGTTAACGTAAATATTTCGTATACAACTTAAAAGATCATAATATTAGAATAAGTATTGTTTATTAATAATTAAACGTGAGTCACCTATGGTTATGAAATAAAAACTTCAAGTTTTGCTCGGCAGAATGCAACAACTGAGGATTGTATTAAAGTTAGATATTAGTGCTTTTGTGAAACTAGTGCAGTGAAAGATTGAGAATAGTCTGGAAGATAGTCAAATTTAACAGAAAGAAAAAGTCGACGGATTTCGTGAAGTTTATGAAGAATGAAACATAATCAAGTGTTCTAGCTGTTGCGAAGGTCTACTCTATTTCATGAACAACAACACACTGAGCTATAATTCTATATCTTTTATCGAAAAGATTCAAAGTGCAATTTGTTCGTGGAATAGAACAGGTCCTTTCAACAACTTGATCACTTTATTATGGTTCATATTTCATAAATATCATGAACTTCCTCGACTTTTTCATCTAAATTTTTGATATTCTTCCACTGTATCAGTTTCACAAAAGCATTAAACTGTAACTTAAATGTAATCTACATTTAGAGTACCTCCGCCGACTTTGACTAACAGTTTCCGTTCCAAAACACTAGATTACTAAAGATTAGTCATTTATACAACAATTCGTATTGTAGTGTTTATAGATACAGACATTTCGCTGAAAATATATGGAACAAAACTTTAAAGAATATACCATCATATTATTAAAAAATCAATCAAATCTGTTGAATTGTATAAGAAATATTATATATTAACTTTCCTGACGGACTTTTAGAATTCTGTGTAAATTACTTTTGAATGTTTATTTTTGTTGTTGATAGGGATGCAGATTTTTTTGCTAAAATGTGTGTTGATGCATCAAATTTGGTTAAATTTAATGAAAAGGATAAAATAGTTGTACCAATTAAATCAATCAATGTTTTAAAAGCACATGGTAGATCAACACATGAAAGTGTATTAATATCGGGTTATGCACTTAATTGTACAGTTGCATCACAATTAATGACCAAACGAATAACAAATGCTAAAATAGCATGTCTGGATTTTAGTTTACAAAAAGTCCGAATGAAATTAGGTGTACAAATCGTTGTTGAAGATCCTGAAAAACTTGAAGCAATACGAAGAAGGTTTGAAAGATATTTTTATATTTATTTTTAAATTTTCTATTTGAAAATAAAATTCATTTAGAGAAACTGATATTGCTAAAGAACGTGTAGCTAAATTACTTAATGCTGGAGCTAATGTAATATTAACAACAGGTGGTATTGATGATCTTTGTTTAAAACAATTTGTTGAAGCTGGAGCTATGGCAGTTAGACGTTGTAAAAAAGCAGACTTAAAACGTATTGCAAAAGCAACAGGAGGTTCGATTTCTTTAAGAAAATAAGAATTCCTTGATCAATATTAGTCTTTTTATTGTTTATTTTTGTTTGTAGCAACATTATTAACAGCTTTAGCAAATATGGAAGGTGAAGAATCTGTTGATGCATCTGTCATTGGTAGTGCTGATGAAGTCGTTCAAGAACGTATTTGTGATGATGAACTTATTCTTATTCGTGGACCAAAAGCACGTACAGCTGCATCAATTATAATACGTGGTGCAAATGATTTTATGTGTGACGAAATCGAACGTTCGGTACATGATGCATTATGTGTTATTAAACGTGTATTAGAGTCAAAACAAGTTGTACCTGGTGGTGGTTGCTGTGAAGCAGCACTTTCAATTTATTTAGAAAATTTTGCTACGACAGTTGTATGTATAGTGACGCACAAAAGTTTACAGCAGTTGTATTTTTAAGTTTTTTTCTTCATGGTAATAGATAGCAAAAATCTGAAGAAAAAAAACGTTTGTGTAGCTGAAACTATTCTCTATTATGATTAATAGATTTGAAGACTTTATCGAAACTGCTTAGAGGAGAGTTTGCGAAAAACCAAGGCCCTCAAAACATCTATCTGGCTTTCATTCAAAGCTTTTCGGAAAAGACTTAATTTGATAGGAGAAGATGACATGTTTTCGATATCTCCACGACCTCTCTTCATCGAACTATACTCAATTACAGAATGTCCCCTATCCCACCCACAAGCATCAAACATGACAAAAACATTAAAATTTTCAGTTGAAAAATGCTTTTTTGGGTCTTCTCTGAAATTGAATACAGTTAGATGAAGGAAGGTCATAGAGAAATCGGAGCCATATCATTTTTACACATCGAGTGAGTTTTTTTCCTAAAAGCTTCGAATGAAAACTAGAATAGAAGTTTTAGGGTCTTAGTTTTCCGCAGATTTTTATTCAAGCTATTTTGTTGGAATCTTCGTACCTACCAATTCTGATAGAGAACCATTTCAACTACATGAATATTTTTTTCATATTTGTACTAGCTATTATGATCCATAAAAAGCTTAAAAGTACAACTGCTCTTAACTTATGTTCGCCATTATATTTATTGAACTTGTTTTAATGAAAGAAAATTCTTCTTTTCTTTAGAGCTCACGCGAACAATTAGCTATTGCTGAATTTGCAACAGCATTGTTATCAATACCGAAAGCATTGAGTGTTAATGCTGCACAAGATGCAACAGAACTTATTGCTAAACTTCGTGCTTATCATAATGCATCACAAACACAAAAGGATAAAGAACAACTTAAATGGTTTGGTTTAGATCTTCAAAGTGGAAAAGTTCGTGATTGTAAATCAAGTGGTGTATTTGAACCAGCTATATCAAAAATAAAATCATTAAAATATGCAACTGAAGCAGCAATTACTATTTTACGTATTGATGATATGATTAAACTTGATAAAGAAGAAAAGAAAGGTGGACATGGCGATGAGTGCATGTAATCAACATAAATTCATCGAAAAAACTGTTTGTGTTTGTGTGTGATTTTTGTGTGACATCATGTTATCGTTGCTGGTTTTTTTATTTGCTATTTTCATTGTTGCCGTTTTTCTTTCGTAGGAAAAAATTCTTACACGTATAAAAACAAAGTCTTTTTTTTTGTCATTCATTAAGATTATAAGGTTATGTAGAGAATACGATCATGAATGGTTGATTGCAAACAAAGTATAATTAAATAACAATTATTTACAAATGGATATTTGATTGAAAAGGATAGAGTATTTTTAGTTGTACTGTGAGTAAGGAGATGCAGTGACCACAAATATGTCGAACAGTGTATGAAGAATTTATTATGTCATTAATTCAATGTTATTCGATTGCACTTTCTTCTATTGCTGGTGCTAATCATCTAATTCAGGATGATAACACATTAATAGCCCAGATTTTGAATGATGTAGCAACTATAAAACAACAAGATATTGATGAAAAGCGTTATTTTCATACATTAAATGATCGTCTTGAAGATTTACTTCATTATTTAGATGATTTGGAATTAGGAAATAAAAATTTATGTAATAACCTTAATTTATTAATAGCAAATTGGGGAATCGTTGAAGAAAGTCATGCTCAGCTCTTACATGAACTTGATAATTTATTACAATATTTATCTGAACAAAATCGTCGTAAAATAAGTGTACAAATTGAAACAAAAATATTTGATGAACAAATACAATTAACTGATCGTATTCAATCGATTTTTCTTGATGTACTTAATTCATATAATGAAAAACATGATATATTACATGATTTAATAAATCAATTAGAAAATGAATCTGATAAAATTCAACTTCGACTTGACATAAGTAACAATCTAATAAAATCTCATGTGGATGATTATCAAAAAGAATTAACTAGATTTCGTTCTTATCTATCAGAATGGTCACAAATGACATTAGATAAACAAAATTTACTAAATGAAATTCAATCACTCAAAGAACATTATAATCTTCGCTTAGGTTATAATCAAGAAGAAATTAATGAATGGAAGCGTTTATTAAATCGTTTAACACAAGATTCGAAAATTTTTTATCAAGATTCTTTAGAAATAATAAAACAACAATTACAAATTGATTATGAACAAATGCTTAAAGAACAACAAATGGATGTTGAAATAGAATTAATAACACAATTAAAAGAAATACAACATAAAATTCATATGAATTTATCTATTGATGAAAATGGTTCAAATTTAACTTTAATCATTTTCTTGCTATTGAATCGTTTTTTGTTTAGATAAACAACGACATCGTGAACGTACTCAACATTTCGAAAATCGTCTTCAAGAAAATACAAAAGAATATGATCGTCTTGAATCTGATTATCGAAGATTAACTGAAGAAATTCAACATAAACGACAAATATTACAAGATCTTGAAAATCAAGCAAAAACAAAAGCACTTAAATATGCTGAACAACATGCTCGTCTTGGACATGATACTGATTTAATACGTGCAGAATATTATGCATTAAAAGATGAATTAGATAAATTAGTTTATACACTTCGTTTTAATATTGAAGAAGAATTAAAAATTTATGAAGTTTTATTAAATTCATTAGATCGAGGAAAAGATGTTCATTCATCTCTTAATAAATTAACTCATTCTCAATTATCCAAAACCAGTATGACAAGAACAATAGATATTGATCATTCATCAAAATATCAATCTCCAATTACATCAAGAGATATTATATCAACAACATTTGATAAAAGTGGAATTGAACAAAATACAATTAATCAAAATCAAAAGATGACAACACAAACAACACAATCTTTTCTTCATGAAATGGATGAACAACAAATGGACATAAGTACGAATAAAAATGAGCAACATATGTCTGAACGTGATGAAGAATATGTACAAAGCATAACCCACGTTAAACGTAAATATAAAGGTCAGAATGAAAAGAAAAGTTTTTTTAAAAATTATTTCAAGTTTTTTTTTTGTCTAGGAAAGATTCGTATTAAATCTGTTGATATTCAAGGTTACTTTGTTGATGTTGAAAATATAAGTAATCAACCACATGATCTTACCGGATGGTATATCGAACGAACAGTTGACGGTCGCCGTATGAATTATACATTTCCTGCATTTGAACTTGATTCACATAAAACTGTTCGAATTTATGGAAATTATGATCAACAATCATCAATATCAATGACAGATGATTCTTATTTACAACTTATTGCACCAAACTTTTATGACTGGAATACAGGACAACAAATGCGTACAGAACTATTTAATCGTGATGATATTATTAAAGCATTATTTGAACAAATAATAGATGATTAAAACAAAATTCAATGTGTATAGTTTAGTTTACAATGAAATATTTCGAAATAAAATGAAATAAAGAAAAGGATATTTTAAAAGTTTCAATAGATGACTAACATTTTAAAATCATCGGTTAACTTTTTTTTTCCTGTTTTGGCATAGCTCTTATCTAATCGAGATATGCATGAAGAGCACCTATTTTCGAATTTTGTCCAATGCCTAAGAACCTAGCAATCAATTTCATTTGTATTTCAAATACATTATTGTCTAAGATAAAATCGATTTGAGTTACACTTTTATTAAAAGCATGAAAGTTAATGCTAAATCTCTCGTCGCCCCATGAAAAACAATGAAAATAGCTAGATGTTTATTAAGAATAAATTATATGTTAAATATTATCATCGTATCTTGATTTCATAGCAATCAAAGAGACGAATTATGAAATATAAGTTCAGATATTTCCTGCATTTTATTTTGAAATGGATAATAGTTAAATTAGTTTGTACCAGATCACGCAAAATGTTTGTAATATTGGATATCACGCATATATTTCACCACATATAAATCATATACTGTTGGTTTTGCATTTGAAAGATGCATCCGTCGCATTCTGTAAAAAAAATGGTAATAAAGAATCCTACTGAATTGGTATGATGATTTCATTATAAGGACCAAACTGACACATGCTGTGATGATGAAAATATCTCATGATTCTAAGAAGAACAAAAATGAAAATTAATATCAAAAATGTTTTTTTTTTTCAAACAATATACTTAACGATTTCATCAGATACTTTGTAAAACTATTATTGTAAAAAGCGATACAAAAATCATGATTGTTCACGAACAAAACAATCAGCATTGTGCTCTTTGATTGGACGAACTCTTTGAAGAAAAGAACCGACCACTTTGCAACATAATTCACATTCATTTTATAACACGCTTCTTTTATCTCTTTCTTCGGACATTCGCATGTTTTAACCTTTCGATAATTAATGTTTTTATTAACACTATCCCAAATAGAACAATGTAATAGATTTAAGCCTCGTGAGTTAGAAGACCTTCGAGTTTTACAGGTAAACAATTTAAAATAACGATAAGACGTTTACTTTTTGTCATCTAAAAAGTCATCAACAAAAACAGAAGAAGATTCTCTCATGGGAACGTAGTAAACAATTAAAGAACGTATGTCAAAAAAAAGTAAATCAAGGTTTGATAAGGCATTTGTTATGAGATATATCCTAAACAATTAATGTTATTTTCATTTTTGTTTCTCTCAGAATAATGGGACATTTCATTCTCACACAACACTTTATCTTTAGCCTTATAATAAAACGATCATACCAATTCAATGGAATTCCTTATTGCCGTTCAATTGATTAAATTAATGGACGCATCTTTCAAATATAAATCAAGATGATAGAAATTATCTAGGATGATAATATTTGCAAAAATACCTAATATCGCAATTACTTTGTCTCACTCAATATATAACTTGAAAAAAGAGTTCTTTTCTTGTTTTGAATTTTTTATGGGAAATAATTTTTCTCTTGTTCATGTGAAATTTCTAAAGCTACTTGTCATTTTGTTTTTCTCATAATCGATCGCATAACAAATTACTCAATAAAAAGAGCTATCATTCGAATTATTAACATAGAATAACACAACGAATGTCTATATTAGATAATCTTCGTTCTAACTGATCCACCTGCTTGACATTTTTTTTTCGCTTTCTGTTAAAATAGTTAAAGGCGTGAATTGGAATTTTAAGTCGATCATATATGCATATATACGCACAGCTTGATATCGATATTAAAGAGTGCGTGTGAAGAGAAAAAAAATCTGTCTTCATATTCTCTCGTTTTATATTCATTCGTTTCGTGTGGCATTTTGCAATTAAACGACGTGGGGAAGGAGAAAAACAAAAACGTTCAAAGCGAACGAAGAAGAAAAAAAGAAATATCGTTCTAATCCGAAAGGAGAACAAACACATATATATATATATAATCACATTCCACACATTCCAACGTCGCTCTAGTTCATTCATTTAAAAGAAGACACTTTCAAAATTATTCAACCAAAATAAAATCATATTTTCGTTCTCTTCTATACAGGTGAAACATTATACACATACATAGTGTCTCGATGGCACATGCATTTGATAATCGAAATTTTATTCCGGGTAAACAACAAACATTCTATTCTGTTGTTTCACCAACATCACGTCCTGATATAACAAATGTTCTTTGGGAAACTTCATCATCACCTAGAATTCAATCATCATCATCATCATCACCACCACAATCTTCACCAAAACCAAATCATCCTCCACCATCATATGAAGAAAGTATTTTTAATAAAGCTTTAGCTAATCGTCAAAATTCTCGATCATCATTACATTCACCATCAGTTCATTATTATTCAAATCATCAACAACAAAATAGTCCAAATCGAACAATAACACCATTTATATCGTATTCATCACCATCAACACCAAATGATTCTATTCATTATCAAAGACAACAACAATCAACAAAAGGTAGGAAAAAAATTGTATCAATGATTCATTTATATATAATATATTATTCAGAAGGATATTATTCATTTGTATCACCACATCGAAGTTCTGATACAAAACCTCCACCACCTGCTCGTATGCCTAAAGTATCATCAACAATAAATAATAATTCTCTTCATCAAACAAATATTTTACCTCAATTTTCACCAAGTGGAATGAAAACAAGTACAACATATCTTAATACAACACAACTTTATATAACTCAATCATCATCTCGTGATCCACCACCACCACCGCCACCACGTTATCCACTTCAACCACCAGCTATTCCACCACGAGGTTCACCTATATGTAATCAATCGAATTCAGTAGTTATTCCTGATTTTAATTCATCAGCATCACCAAAACCTACAAATCAAATGATTTATCGATCACCTGTTATATCATCAACAGCGAGACGAAATGATATTATTGATTCTCATACATTTGAACATCAATTTAATTCATTATCCATTAATAATAATCATAAACATGAAACAATTAATAGATCGATCATAAAAGAATATTCAATATGTCAGTGTCGAAAATGTGGTGAAATAATATCAAATTCAGATGATGCTTGTGATATACTTGGTCAGATCTATCATAGTTCATGTGCTGTCTGTGTTTTATGTGGACGATCAGTAAAAAATAAACATTTTTTTGTTAAAGATCAATTATATTGTGAAGAAGATTTTTTGGTAAAAAAAAAAAGATCTTTTTTAAATGAAAAATTTATTTCTTTTTATTTACTTTCCTTCTGTTTTAGTATACAGGTTTTCATCAAACACTTGAACATTGTATAGCTTGTGGTCATTTAATTACCGATACAGTATGAATAATAGTTTTCTTTAAATTGATTAGTTTATATTTAAATTAAACTTAGATTTTACAAGCACTTGGTCATTCATATCATTTAACATGTTTCAAATGTTCAAAATGTTCAATTTGTTTAGATGGTATACCATTTATAACAGATAAAAATCAAAATCTTTTTTGTTTACATGATTATCATATGTAAGTTATTGCTGATGAAATGAAAACAATCATTATTCTTTGATTTATCAGGACTTATGGACCGCGATGTGATAAATGTTCGAATCCAATTTGTCCAGAAGATGTAAGATAAAATTAATCATATTTATTAGAATTAGTTTTATATAATTTAAGGGTTCCAATGAAACTGTACGAATTATTTCCATGGGTAAAACATTTCATGTTCAATGTTATCAATGTCAAGTATGAATTTTCATTTATACATTTATATGTTAAATTAATATAATTTTCTTAGGATTGTTCATTACAATTGAATGATGAACCAGATCGTCGTTGTTATCCATTAGGTGATATATTACTTTGTCAAGCATGTTGTCGTCGACGTCTTACATCTGTTAATAACAATTTATAATATTGAATATGTTCTTTTCATTCTCGTTTTTCTTTGTCAGATATTATTTCGCCATTAATAAGATTATTTTTTTTTGTTGTTCTTAATTAAGAAAAAAAAAATCAGTTTTTGCTTTTTCGACTAATTCATCCAAATTGATACATGTATGAATCAATCACTGTATATAAGCTATTAATCTTTTATTAGAAATTTTAAAGAATATATTCATCTATGTTTTAATGACAATAGTAGTTATATTAAAGACTAGATTGGAAAATATTTTCTATTAAAAGACATTAAAAGAAATACTATGATATGATATGATTTTCGTGTCTTAAGAACCTTCCTCTCAGAAAACTCGATTTTCATCAAAAAAAAAGAAAAAATTTTTCAAATAAACATGTGAACATGTTGCTTGAGTTGCATAATGTACGAATTTATAAAGATGGTTTGATTTTCGAAGGCTTTTGGGAGTTTATGAATAATCTTTGAAACTATCTAGAGTTGAGTTAGATCTGTAAAATGAACAGATGTTTTTTTTTAAGGTAATCAAATTTTGCATATCTCAAGGTCACACTTTTGAAATCTTCAACAACATGAAAGTGCAATTGAAGAATCTATTCTGTACCCATCCCATGAAAGTAGATGTTTTATATTAAAAAAAAATAGTACATTTCTTGTGAGTTATTAATACAAACGACTTATCATTATCAGTCTTTAAAAAAATTATAAAACGTAAAAATGAATTTAAGTATTAATTTGTTTTTCTTCTACTTGTATTATATTGTTGATTTATATAACAAGTATAAAAGCGACTTTAGGTTGCATCATCTATTGTGATGTATCTCGTACAAGGACAATCTAATGTACGTACACAAATGCTTAGATTGACATATAATATATTCATAATTCACCTTCATTTTGTGTAATGATAGGGAGACTGTATACACAAAAATACTTTTATGTTTTTCTCGAAATTAATTTTTCAATAATGATCGAAATGAGGACAAATTCTTTTTTCAGCATGCTTCATTCTAGAGAGTTGCATTGTTTCTAATTGATAGATATATGCATGGTGCTTCAAATAAGGGTAAGCAATTTTCTAATTAATCGTCAATACTGGATGAACCTTGAGTTTTCAAGAAAACTATGCCTAAACATTCGAGCTTTTTGAAGTTTCGATGATTGAAAAAAATGAAACAGAGTCAAACTTAAAACAACTGTTTCCCTCATTCAAAGTGGTTATGAGTTCTCTTTCAAATAAAAACCGTCTGAGCTCTGCAGATTGGTTTCTAGAAGTGTTCCAAACGATAAGGTATAGAGGCGTGATACTTTTGATATTAATGTACTTCCTTGAATTAAACATCTTCAGAAGGTCTTATACATATGTCATATATCCTGTCAAAGTTAGATTTTTGAGAGAGGACTATAAGTAAATTTATTTTCATCGTTCAGAAATTGCTAAGAGCCGTTCAAGACTCCCTTCAAAAAATCCATTTTGTCGAAAAAAATTGATAATTGAGTTTTTATCATAGGAAGATAAAACGAAATTTTCTCTCTTAGAATATTTATGACTTTTCGAAGAAAGACGACACTTCAACAGATTTCGAAGGAAATTGTGACCTCACTATTATGTTTTTCAATAGATTTTCGTGTTTTTTTTAAGGTTGGGAAGATTGCATTTTTATATTTGCTAGAGTATTAAATAAACGTTATTGTAAATGCGACAGATGGTGCTAGTTGACACCATATGTTACGTGTTTTCAAAAATTCCATTTAGATATATTATATGAAGACGTCATTTTAATATGATTTTTTTTTTAGATTTGAATGAAAAAGTCTATATCTAAACTTATTTACTGTTTTTCTCAAAACACGGTCTTTTACTAAGAAAAACTCAAGTTCCTACTATGCACTGCAACGTATAACTAATATTTTGTTTTTTTTGTTTGAAATTTTTCAATGAAAGTAAACTTTTGTTCGACTAAATTGTTATAGTTAATTTCTGTGTTGAAAAAAGCAAGGTGTAGTGTCATGAGTAGCCCCCGGCGTGACCATAAAACCGTGACTAAAGAAAAAAAGATTGTGCGATAGTAATTTTCATGTTGAATATGACAAAAACACTTTTGATTCAACTCTTTATATTTAGAATTTTCTCCTCTTCAAAATGATGTATAAAACTTGAGGATACAATGATCTATACAAGAGAAAATAATGAACCATTTCCCGTGACCAGTTCTAGTCACGGTCAGTCACGGAAATTTCTGGTCACGGGAAATGTTTCATTGTTTTCTCTTGTATAGATCACTGTATTCTCAAATTTTATACATCATTTTGCAGAGGAGAAAATTCTGAATATGAAGATCAAGTCAAAAGTATTTTTGCTATATTCAACATGAACATTACTATCGAATAATCTATTTTCTTTGGTCACGGTTTTATGGTCACGCCGGGGTCTAGTCATGAAGTAACATCTTTTGCTTATTTTAATACTATATCTACTAAAAGAATCATAAAAAAATGAATGAAAGCTATTTTCAAAAATGTATTAGCGCAAAAACTGCACACAGATATTGGTTTTAATCTGAAATAATATTGAGTGCTGTGCCTATTGTAATGACGAAATTATAGGAATTTTCCTTAAGACCATAAATGGACTTTAAAAAAGTCGAAACTTCACTCTGTTTTGACATATCGAACTGAAATTTGTATCGGAATCATTTAACACTAGGCTCACTCATTCTTAAAAACTGCAGCTTATATGAGTCATCCAAAATAGTAAATTTATTGTGAAGAAAAGAGCCTTAATGTTTAGTTTTTCCAATGCTTGTATTTAGAACTATCTTTGAAATATTGCTAATTGATGAAAAGATAAGTCAAGAACCAATTAAAAAGGACAACAAAATTCCACTTCATCATGTTCATGATCATTAGGTTTTCGCAATTTTAGCTTTTCTTTTTCTTTTCTTTTCATTCATGAAATTGAGAACAGAACGACTAACACAAAAAAAGTCAGTCACCCATTATATAGTCGTCCTCGATACCTTTTTTCTTCCTATATACATAAGTGTATATTTATTGCTGTTTTGACAGATGAGATACCTACTACTTGGTTACTTGTTGCTGTCATGGCTCATCATTTTCTTTACTTTCTATACGAATAATATAAAAGGAGAGAAAAAGAAGGTAATAATCGAGTGACTGCACTTCGATTACTTCTCACAAATCATATGATGGGAATAACTTTTTTTGAAAATATGAATAGCTATTTATATGAATAATATTTGCTTTGAATCATTTTAAGACAAAGTTACATTATTTCATTTATTTTTCTTAGTAGTTTTTCTTTTCAGAATAAACAAGATGTACGCAAAAATTAATTCATATTTGGATCCAACAGGTGTTTTCTTTGGACATTCTCGTAAACGTCGATCGTCAAGACATGATATGGAAGACGAAGAAGTCAACAACGAATCTGATTATTACAACTCATCACATGGTTCTGGTAATGAAGGAAGTGAGCCACCTCTTCGTTTTATTATTATTCGTCATGGAGAACGTGTCGATGTCATGTATGGTGCTGGTTGGACACAACGAGCATTTGATCGTGCTGGTCGTTATTATCCTTTTGATGCAAATATGCCACCATCATTACCACATCGAGCTAATTGGCTAGACTATGATGTCGATACTCCACTAACTGCTAACGGTTTAGCTCAATCATGGAATGTTGGTAATGTTCTTGCTAGATATAATTTACCGGTGACAGCATGTTATTCATCACCTGCTTTTCGTAGCATCCAAACAGCTGATGGTATTCTTGAAGGCATGGGACGAAAAGGTAAAAATAAACACATATTTAAATAATTAAAATCATTTTTTTTTCTATTTCATCATTGAGGACATGTTCCATTAAGACTTGAACTTGGTTTATTCGAATGTACATCTTGGTATGCTCGATCACCAATTAATTTTATGTCTGATAACGAATTAATTCATGGTGGTCATAATATTGATAGACATTATCGTTCACAAATGAGTCATCTTCGATTATTAGAAAATGAATATCAATATTATGATCGTTCAAAAGAAACAATGAAAAAAATTATCAGATTTCATCGAAAAACTGGTGGTACCATATTACTTGTTGGACATGCACCTAGTCTTGAAGTACTTACTCGACATTTAATGAAAGGACTACCAAGACCTGAAAGACTTGCTGAACTTGCTGGTAAAGTTGATTTTTGTAGTATGACTATTATCGAAAGAGAGTCATCATCAAAACCATGGCAATTTCGTTATTCACTTGATGAACAACCGAATCAAAATAATTGGCAACAACAACAACAACAACAACAATTACAACATTCAAATAGTTTTTCAAATCTTTCGACACCTAAAGATATGGTAAAACTATCATCATCGGCTTATCAAACACCAGCTACTTATACTAATTATTTGGCCAAACCATCAACTTCACCATATCATTTTCATTTTTTTCCACAACAAGAAGCTTATCCACCCTATTTTGCTCTATAATACTTTGTTGTTTATGATCAGAGTTTTATTTTAATTTGATATCTTATTTAAAAAAAAAAGTGATCATTGAATTGATGTTCAGAAGAAACAATATCTTCAACAAATATTTTAATTAATTAGATGACCTATTCGATTAAAGACTTTCTTTTTTGAATCGATTGAAATATCAACAGATGACTTTTGTGACATTGAAATCTTACAACGTAGAATGTACCATAAAATAACAGCCTATTTCTTCGTTTTGACATTTTTCATAAATCTTTTTCCAAGTTTATATGTTCAATGAACCTTTTCATAATGCTTCCTCAATATGGACTCTCAAAAACTTAACGATATATTTTATTTCAGAAATTGTTTCAAATGAGTTGAACTCATAGATCAGTTTTAGTGTGTAATATTAGAATAAACTCATGAGGAAATTAATTGCAAAGGGAATTATAATAGTGTGATTGCCATTCATATATCAGACATGATTTAAAATG